ATCACTGGCAATAAATACATGTATTCACTCGTATTCACCCGAAAGGAACGTTCAACACTAAAAGTATTTCACTTAACCACTTGTGAAAAGCAGGAATATGAGCCATAGATAATAAATCATAAGTTTGTTGATTTCGTTACCAAGCAACCGCCAAGATAAACCGCCGCAATGCACACAAATACCACGTATATGCACACTGTGGATATCATGTAGAATGTAACTCCTTCAACTTTTAGAATGGCGATATCATAGGAATGGTAATTCTTAGGAAAAAAAGTATAAGGAAAATTTTTGTAGACAATTTTATGATCTACAATTTTTGTCTAGAATATATTTTTTATAAAACTTACCGTTTTCGAGAAAAATAAAAAAAACGAAAATTTTTTCTTTGACCTTGAGTAACTTTTTTAGCACACATGGGATCAATGGGGATTTTTGGCACTTTATTTCTACTGGTGTACCCAAGGTCTCTACCAAAATTTAGCTCTGTCGGAATTTTTGTTATTTGAAATGTCTATTTTGACCGGACTATTTACTCTTTTTATCTGTTCTTATCTCTTCTTGTGCAATCGAAACCTCCGGGACCCAGAAATATCCACCCTATATAGTATTTTTTATCATTTTTAATTTTATTTTTTGTATGCAACGTGTTTTCCAAACTATTTAATGAATATAATTTATATATTATATATTTAGGCAAAATAATCTTGTTTTTTAGTATTTAAAAACACGTAGGTAATTAACAAACCAATAAATTTTCAACAAAAAAAGTTTAACGACTGTATTTATTTAATTTTTATTAAGGGGCCGTTCATTAATTACGTGAGACAATTTTGGCGATTTTTCGACCCCCCCCCCTCCCCTTGGTGAGATGTCGTGAGATTTTGCTCGACCCCCTCCCCCCACCTTAATCTCACGTGAGATTTTTTAAAATGCATGGTTTTAATGTAAATAAGTTAATCTGTGCTTGATTCCATTAGATTTATTAAAAAAAAACAATTTGCTTATAATTGTTTTCTCGCAATTTTACACTCTTTCTTTCGGAAAAAAAAATTACGTGATATTTGCCGAGACCCCCCCTCCCCTCCACGTGAGATTTGGTGAGGTTTGGCTCGACCCCCTCCCCCCCCTAAACACCTCACGTAATTAATGAACGGCCCCTAAGAAATGAAAATATAAACTTGTACCTGCTTTAAGCTACAAACCATACTACACAGATTTTTATATACCTCAGGGTATTTGAATTTAAAATGAAGCTCAATTTGTTTTGTTTCTAGTTGTATCCGGATTAAAAACTGTGCTTGCTTTAATATTTTATTTGGTTTTCGCTGTATTTCAGATATTTGTAAAGATTTTTAAAGATTCTCGTAGTTTAAAATTTATTCGTACAAAATTACTTTTTGAGTGGTTTTTAATAGTTTAATAAAATTAAACACACGTACAAAAGACAAACAAGCATAAGGATATGTGGGTAAACGAACATTATCAATACTTTTTTAATTGTTTAGAAAAAATATCCCAACATGATACATGCCAATAAAATAAAAACAATTTGGTTTTATCTGCAAATAGCATTTGATTCCAAGAAACCAGTTTCAACAATTTTTAATTATTTTTCAATTATTTGGAATACCAGTTTTTTGTAATACTAAAAAAACTGATTAATAAATGTATATAGTAGAAAATTTAAATGATAAAGCTAAAAGTTTTATTTGCAATATTGTTAATCTGCGGTTATATTTAAGTTTTATGTAAACTCGATAATTTCGTGCAAAAGCCTACTTAATAACCTATTTACTTAATGCATTTAGTAAGTTTAACCTTAAGGGATTAAATATTAAGTTTCTTAAATACCCCAGTGACTAGGGCCTAATTATTTGGTACATTTAATTGAAATTTTAGCTTTAATCTAGAAACTATTTTCGTCAATGTGTTTTGTTTAATTAGAATAAGTGGATCAGCATATAATTGATGTACATAGTAAAATCATATTATTATTATAACTTTTTTCTTTTTGGTATTAAAGATGGGCCCTAAGTGTATTACGGGTGGTAAAATAAGTCATCCAGCTTGTTCCAGATTTCAATAGATTGACGATAAGAAAATTAAGTACGGTGAAGATAACAAACATAAAAACTTGGACAACTTATTCCAAAGTGATACAAACGAAGAGATCTTACCAAAGCCAAATAGCAGGTAAAAAGAACAGCCAGTCACTACCGCCAAAAGCCGCTGAATTAGTTGTAGATAGAAAATAACCAAATAAATCACCGATTAATCAAAAACCTACTACACTGATAAAACGCAATGTCAAACTAAACAATAAATGAATATTAGATTTACTGGATCAACAAAGCACACCCTCGCTGCCGTTAAGCCATATTTACGTCTCCAAAGTATGACTTGACAACAGAAAAAAATATTATAAACTTTATCAAATCGAAACTACACTGTTCAAAATTTTAGCTAATTTTTACCTAAAATATTAGACTATATAGGACCATTGATTTTTTAAGGCAAACTGCCTGAAATGAATTCAGAGGAATATTCCCCTTTTAAATTAGTGAATTCTTTAACTGATATTTTTAAAGAAAATGATACAATTAATTAAGCAAAATTACTTAGGTTTCAAAGATGATACACCTTAGATCGTAAGGGATATTGCCTGAGAATAAAAGAATAAATTTCCTGTTTCTAAGGCAATTTGCTTAAATTTTTAGGTAGATGAAAATCCTCTTATTTTTCACGGTAAATTTATCTAATTTTTTTAGATATACCCTTTTTTCGGGTAATTTTCTACCAATTTTTTAGTAAAATTCTACTAACTTTCTAGTAAAATTTTACTTATTTTCTAGTAAAATTCTACTATTTCATTAAATAAAAATATAAGGGGAACAAGAATTGGCGGTGGGGGCATTTAGGAGAGAAGATATTTATAATGTCATTTTTATTCTCACGCATTGCTTTGATAATATACTATTTTGGAAATATACTATTGTAAATGTTAAATATTATTGTAAAAAGTTACCGATAACCTAGTAGTGTTTATCCCTATATCGAGCAATGTAAATGAGAAAAGAATGACATTATAAATCCCCCTTTTAAGTGCTGATGGGTAAAATAAAAAATACATTTATTTTAGTTAAATTGAAAATGTATATTAATAAATATGTATAAATAAAAAAATAAAAGTAACAAAAACGACAATAAAACTTATAGGTATACCTACTTTATAAGTTTAATAAAGTTTCTTTTGGCATAGGAATTTTCTTCCAAGTTAGGACTCCTTTATCTTTATGTCCTAGGCGAATTAACAACGGCGGTTCCGGTACTACAGGGTTGGGATTATTTAAAAATAAATTGGGGTCAATGGAAAATTCCATTTAGTTTGGATTACTTAACTATAGCACTTCAAAATGTTCACTTATAGCACAATATTTGTTAACTGTTGTTATATCAATAGCACACAACGCGGTCTTTACGTTTTCGTTGATTTTGGCATTCTGGTGGACAATATAGGCGCGAATATTTATCGTAAAACGTCGGTATTAGCGATCGTGGCCGATTGTAAGTAAGTCACTAATATTTAAAGGAATTTACCTAAATTAGTTCAATAATTTGCCATAATAACTTAGAAGAATTACCTAAATTAAAAGCAAAATTGTCGTACCTAAAAGTCATTGAGATTTTGACTAAATATTTAGGTAATCTGCCTATCTTTTTAAATTTGAGAAGTTTATTAAGTAAAGTATGAATATTTATCTAGAAGTTAGTGAATACACCATAGAACAAAGGCATTAGTTTCTGCCTAATAAACGATAAGGTAAATTGCTTTACTCGTTTAAGCATATTACCTTATTTTTTCTTAACTAATTCTGATTAGGTATTTCAAAAGGCTTGATTTTGAACAGTGTACAGGGTTTACATGATTCTAAAAAAAGTATGTTCAAATCAAACAGCCACAAGAGTTTAAAGGTTTTTGTTTCAGCAAATGACTACTTTAAACTATTGGCTTCCTCATATTCCTATAAACAATTTATAACCTATATTAAAAATGTCCAAGTAACAACCAAATTCAAATAATACATATATTGAACATGAGGAATGTGCAAAAAAATGTTTCATTAAAATGTAAAATCAGTAAAAAAATTTAAATGAATTAAGTATTTTTAATTAATGAATACATTTTCAATATTTGCTTGTAGTAATGAACTATGTAGATTTATTAGGGATAAATAACTTTAGTAGCCTCATCCTACTTTCGTAGCATGGAATAGGTATACCTTTTTAAAAATTGTTTAAAACTTAGGTATCATCAGAAAAAGATTGTGAACTTTCAAGTATTGATATATCAATTATAATTAATGTATTAATTTATATTTACGTTTCTTCAGATAATTTTTAATTTTTTAAGAAATAATTAAAGAAGTTCTTATTTAAATTAAAACAATGTATTCATTGAATACTATTCAATAATTGCTAAAAATGTCAATGTTTAATTTGATAAAAACAAAAAAGTGACAAATGTGTGATTTACTGATTTTAATAATTTTTTAAACAAACGGAATAAAAAACAACAGGTATAAACTGCATAGATAATACTTTTATAAATTTAATCCCCTGTTATTGTTAAAATCAAACTATACCTATCATAAACCTAAACACTCAAATTGGAAAAAAAATATTTTTTTAAGAAAATCTTGGAACTTCATTGACTTAAATTTACTGTCAGCTGAACAACAATTTTACAAGTTAATTTATATATTAATAAGCTTATTATCTTCAATCTTTTCTTGAGAATTTTTACAGCAGCATATATAATCTGAGCCCGTTTAGTCAAGGCTTACATAATATGGGAAATCAACTGTCCTTTCTTTGAAAACAAAACTTTGAAAAATGCATCCAAATTGTAATTTTATTTAAATTAAAAAAAAACTTTCGTAAAAAATATCAAAAGGTTAAAAAAATGCAATATTAACTTAATTAAAAACTTTACTTACCTAAAAGTGACATAAAAAATCCATACATGTGGCACATTGTTTTCCCCCATATCCATTTATGTGCCACAGCTGATGCAAAAGTAAATGGGTTTCCAAATATTGAAACGGAAAAATCACTGCATACCAGATTAAACAAAATAATGTTGAGTGGAGAACTGACCTTAAAATAAACAATATCTGTTACTTAAATTAAATTATGAAATAAAATTTGTTATTAACTTGAAATGTAAGATGAAGAATATTTATCGCCTGTATTAAGAACTTCGTGCATCAATAGATACTTATAATGTGTATAAAGTTTTCTCATCAAAGTATACCTTTATAAAACATTTTATATGAGTTTTATGAATATGTTTTTAAGGGTCATTAAAATATATTACTCGTATTTATATATACTTAGAAGGTAATAAAAAATAAGTAAGTTTACCAATAATAAAGTAAAGAAAAAGGTTAGGATACATAAAAATTTAAGTTAGGATGTTTTGAGAAAAATACTTGGGCCAGTTAAAATATAAGAAGGAGGGTTTCGAAGATTAAATAGTTTCTCAACGCCAATATTTAAAACGTTTATATGAAAAAAAATCAAGGTTAACTTCGGGTGACAGTTGACAGAATCTGATGTCAAGTTTTTAACAAATATCCTAGACATTCGTTTTTATTAAATATGCGCTCACAAACTTCGTTCGAGCTTAATTAAACTCGTAACTAAAATAAAGGCCATCAAACTTAACACATAATATACTATTAAGGGGCCGCCCAAAGATAGTCAAAATTCTAATTTTTTTTACTTTAATTTTTCCTCTCCATCCGATAAACTTTTGTACACGGAAAATAAATAGGTTTCTTAAGTTCAGGTCAAAATATAAATTTTTATCTACTCCCACATTGACAATCTCAGGCTTTATGATGTCAGCTGTCAGCTGAAATTAGCAATATTAGCTTTTGGGCATTTAATTTACGGGCCGAAGTTAGCTTTATTATAAATTTTTATTTGTGTTCATAGTAAATAAATTATAGTATGCCACTCGTTTTATAAACTTCTTTAGACACTTGTTTTTATTAAACACTCGCTCGCAAGCTACACTTGTGCCTAATAAAATGGTGTTTATAAAACTTAAAGGTCGATCATAAGTTTAAAAAAAAAGTTCAATTTTCAAAACTCATAACCGAACCCTAAATTTTTTTTAATTAGGGTGATTTTTGGAGAAAACTCCTAAAACATGTTATTATAGGATACTCAAAAAAAATTGTTTTTCTGGGCCACCCTTCTGAGTAAAAATTGTTAACAAAACTGTTTATTTATTACGTTTTATTATTTTATTATATTATAAATCCATGAAATTATGAAAACCATTTATGATATTTCTATTTAATTTATAAAATTTATATCAGCAAAATTATTTCGGTACAGGCTTTTTATGGTAAAATTAATAGAATATAACCGTTGATTGAAGATATGGGTTCTTAAACTCTTCAACGATATAACCCTTAGCGAAATTGATACTGCTTTGAACGAGTACAATGAAAAAATATTGGATTTTTAACAAGCCAGGCATTTCTTTTTAAAATTTTGCATAAAGTAATAAATCGCTTTTGTTAATAATCTTTTCATATTTATTAACGTATAACGTAAAAATTCGAAGTTTTACATTATATTGTAACGTTTAAAACTTTCTTTGTACTTTTTCATGTAATTTATTTCATTTTATTTTTATTATTAAAATATGTATTTTTTGCAATAACCATTCATTGTAATTTATAATTTTATTTGGTTTATTGTTTAAAATCGATTCAAAAATATTGGGTATACAGCTATCGATATAATCAACCCTGTAGCAAACTTAAAACCACTTTTAGAATCCATCATAGTAAAAAATAATACTTTATTAACTAGGTTTACCTAGGTAATTTTGTTTGATATGAGTTTTGTCATAAAGGTTTCGGAAAAATCTAAAAACTCTATAAAATTATAACCCTACGTACCCCTATTAAATTTCTTAAAGAACTGCAAACTTAAAAATAATTATAAAATAAAATTTTTTTATATAAATAAGAGATAATACGAATTGAGTCATCATAGGGTACAGACGCGCACGCGATCACTTCTGAACGGAAGTAATAAAAGCCTTAACAGAATCAGTAGTTATGTTTATTAGACAATTTTAAGTGTATACTACCTGTGCAGGTAAAATCACGGTACCTGTTTCCCAAAGTCTTACGGAATCAGCAAAGCGCTAATACAGTAGTGCAGTGCAATACAACCTCCCTACAAGTGAATAATGTACGAATCATTTACACCACATGTGCAGGTGAATTCAATTTACCTCTCCCTAAGGAGCCAAAGTCAAGTGGATCGCACCAACAAACGATACGTTAAATTCTCCAACGCATCTAAACTAGGAAAACAAAACAGCCAAGCAAGACAAAGATAATTCCCACAGGACAGCAATCCTAATTATTTGTAATTATAAATCGGCAAAAAACGTTCATAATCTTGCATCGAAACACTAAACAAAAAGTCGTTGCATGATGTTAAAATAAACGTTCAGTCACCCAAACAACATCAGTTTTAAGGGCAATACTGAAATAAAGCACAGTGGAATAAAATAATTTGTATCTATTTCCTTTACTAAAGATTTGTTAAATGTTCGTAAACAGTGGGGCAATTTGCATATTTTCCTATTAATCAGCCCAGTAAATAACTTCTTGCCTAAACGGTTAAATATCCAATGTAGTCAGTACTTGGAATAACCAGTTGAATCTTCCTTGAAGCCAGCTGCTTATTCTGACTAATCAGACATGTACGGAGAACCTTCTCGAAGTTAGCATAAGGGGAAGGAACAACCTTGCGCTGAAATGGTCCCTCACTTCAAAGCGCAAGACGTGGACTACGCCTTCAAAATACAGGCCCCTTTATCGAACTATCAACTTCCAACTGCAAACAGAAATCCCATATGTCTTTTGTAATACTAACGGGGGATTCCGTGTCGTACGCAGATTTGGGTCGGCATAATTGTCCCCTGAACACCAAAAGATCTATCCTCCAATCCCCCCATCCTTGTGATCCTACTGGGCGTATAGCAACTGTCCGGCAATGGGGCCAGTTTTTTGTAGCAAATTGAGTATAGGAGGAATTTTGGTCAATTTTAATCTTATTTTTATTCAGCACTAAATTGATTTCTGTACTTCTGTACGTTTTTATCATGACCAGGTGTATTAACCCACTTTCACATGCGTAATAATAAGAAATGCGTAAGAGTTTGGGATATTCTTTCAGTCTTGTTTCCCAAAATTCATTAAAAGATATCTTTTTAGAATCAACAAAGGGTTTTATCTGCGGACATTCCCAGCATTAATTTCTGTTTGCAGTTCCTCGAAGAGCTGAGAGAAATATAAAGATAATTTCAGGGGGGGAATCCACTGATATGGTGTTGGTCTGAAATTGGCGTATTACATCTTCACCATGCTACACAAAGAGGCACCGACAAAAAACTAGTTTCGGCCTTATTAGACCTCATCAGATAGCCGTGTTGTTTAAGCACACTTGAAACACGCTGCCGACCGCCGCTATATAAGCAACAGGATGAGCAACACCAGTGAGCAAAAGATAATCAGCCCCATCTACCTTCCGCTCAAGCAACAGGCAACATTAGGTTTTATAATATTTGCCTTTTATATGAAATGGTGGCACAGAATAAACCTTTGGATTGTACAAGTGGTAAAAAATCTGCCAACCACTATACCCTCTTTGAAGCTAGATAACACACATAGTGTTTAATTAGATGCTCGAGAAAAGCAAAGGAATTTCTATGAAGTCAACTTTTAAGGGCATATCTTCTTTAGCTGAATCAATAAAAACCCAAGAATCGATTCTTTGGTCTGTTGATTTCTCGATTACATAATAAACATGTAAATATGTAAACCTGTATTATATAATATATAATAATATATATAATAATTATATAACAATAATATGTAGTAATTTCTAGCTTGAAGCTGTCCTTGCCAAAAGTCGGCCACGTAAGGTTGTGGTTAATTAAAAATAATAACCGGTTGCAACCAAATGTGGCCGACCACTAACAAAGCTCTCCTGAAATACAAAAAAATATGCATTTAAAAATAAAAGGCTATTAAATTAAATTTTTGATTATATATGGACCGGAGAGTAACATGGGATACTTTTTCACACTTATTGCCTTTTTTACTAGTTGTTTGTTTTTTTTACTTTTTTTTTTGTTTTCTTTAAACCTTTTTTGACTTTTAAACTTTTTTTAATTTTTTTATATTCGGAAAGCGGACCTCCTTGTATAGCGGAGCCTCTGGGTTGACAGGTAGTAAACAATATACAAATCATGAAAAGCAGTGAAAAATTATTATTTTTTTCGTGCTAAAAGTGTAATTGGGTCATTGCAAAAATTGCCCAAGTCACATTTTCAATTAAATTTACATTGTGGCTTCATCTAATAGTGTTTCACGTAAGGTTTCAGGTGGTATTTTCAAAGTGGCAGAAATATGTGCCCAAGTGTCTTAGTTTGCATTTACTTCAATGGGAGTTTGCTTGGTTTTCAACTTACGTGAAAACTCTTAGATGAAGCCACAATAACAATTTAATTGAAAATGTGACTAAGGCACCTCTTGCATTGACCCCTCCAATTGCTTATTTCAGAAAAAATATTTGAAATAACAATATTTTATTCATATTCTGTACATGTTTGTAGCCCAATGTGATCTTTAATGTCAACAGTACGTATAATAATATTATTATATTTATATGGTTTAACCATTATTCCAAAGAATTTTTCATTTTGCTTCAATTTATTTTAAATTTTATTCTAGGTACGGTTAATTATTTTTTCGATTACTTTATTAACAATAATTCTTTTTCAATGTTAAATTGTAAAATATGTTTTTTTTTGTTCGTTAACAGGAAACCAGCTTACCGTTACTGTAACAATGAAGGTGGGAAAATTATTCTAGACGTATACTAAAATTCTTTGAACATTTCTGTAATGGGTTGTAACTTTAAAACTAGGTATAATTTTTTGTTTGTTTTTAAATTGACAAATACTGTCAATATAAGTTATAATTAAACTAAATACCCAACCTGCCTTATGTCCCAAAGGTACCGCAAAATTGTGGATAAAATAAAATTTATTTTAT